AAACTAAGGGGAAACTTCCCATGCAAAGTATAACTTCTCTTGCCCAGTGAACGGTCTATTTGCCCTTAGTAAAACAACCCCTGTGTTTCTAAAAGCTCTAAAATACTTCCCCTATTTAATTTATGAATAGGTAAAATATGAGGTCATACATTAGTCCTGGGTGGGCAAACTGCAGCCCTCCAGCTGTGGGGAAACTACAAATCCCATCATGAATCTGCCTCTGGGAGTCATGCCTGTGGTTGTAGGTCTTACAATGCGTAGTATTTGTAGTTGCACCACAGCTGGGGGGCTGCAGTTTGCCCACCCCTGCATTAGTCACTGGTGCACCCCTTCCAGCAGTACATTTTGTAAACCTTGCCTGCCATGCTTTAGGGTTTTGTGATTTACTGACTATGTGTGCATGCTGCAGACTACTTCTCCAAACAATTATGTCCCAATCAGCAGCATATAGACTGTGTACTTTATTAGGATGATACAGCGTCATTACTCCACATCTTTACTATGCTGTCTGATTAGGGACGCATACAGCCTGTTGTGTCTCCATTCATAATTGCCTGTATTTATTATGCTGAGTGCTATGATGTGTGTTTAATAAAGACATGGCATGTATTTAGGCATGGTTCCAGCCAAGTTTTCTTTAAGTTTGGATAGAGTGGGACAGGGACTTCTATCCTCTTTTATTGCTGTATATCAATCCACTGAGTTTTCTCTTTCCCACTATGCTAAGTGGATTTTTTGTTGACTGTGTCTCAACTTGAGATTTTCTCTCACTTTTTCTCCAGTGCGCCACGCCATCTAAAACTAGAAAGAGACATTGGTGAGATTTAGCTTTAAAGTGAACCCGACCTTGCCTAAATAGTGCCTCTACTGAAACAATAGCAGTAAAGTGATTTGCAGAGTGCCCCTGGCTTTCACTTCAGTTTTCAGAGCCCTAGTCCAGGCATTTTGCAGATGAATAATAAATGTAAACTGGAACCTGTACCTGGTCAGAACTAAAAACAACAGTTAGACATGTTTAACATTGCATGATTCTTGGAAGTTCCACACATTTGTGGATATTTCCTGCTTGTGTCGAACTCACAGCAAATTCTCCATTATTGATTCTATTTCTTCTATACAAGGCTCAGCTGTTCCAATAGTCTTGTGTGTTTGCTTTTTATGTTAACTCTGCCATTTTTAATTACCTGTTTAAGGGACAAGTACACATGTACTGTATGTACAGACATTTATGAAGGTGGATTTCAGCATGCATTAGTCAAATTTAAAATTGTATGTTTTCATTTTCTTGCTTTTAGGATCCCTTTGCTTAAATAAAAAATAAAAAACAGTGGCTTCAATTTAGAATGTACTGACTTGCTATAACAATAAAAAATGAGCATAGGCAGTAACAATGATGAATGTTTTATGCATGTCCTGGGTGCTGCGTGTGTAGGATCTAATCAGATATAATGATTACTACCATGCTGCATGCTGGCAAAATATCAAAACACAAATGTGCTCCTTCCTGAGTCCTGGTTGACATGAGCATCGTCATATGATTATCTTACACTCATCCTATTTTCCGTGCCCTGCGCTCTTGCCAAAAGCTAAACTCTTAAATGTGATGCGGCCTATCTACCATCTGGGTAAATGACACACTATTTTTAGAATTTCAAAAGGGTAGAATTACTAAAATTTGGAACAAATGTTTCCCCGTAAATGCATTCATTGATAAAGTGTAGTGATAAATGTTATGCCAGTAGATATCGCATACCTAGGCACTTAAGGGAATTAACATGATGAACTTCCAGCCCGTAGAAAAGGAATGTTGAACATGTTTAAAATGACAGAGGCTTGTGCATAGATGTTTAAAGAGAGGTAATTGATATGCTGTTACTCTGTTCAACACTTGTAGTCTCAACTCCCGTGGTTTACACAATGTGACCTCCAGTTGCCAAATGGAATAATTACAAGCACTTGCAGCAACTAATTATAGTGTGCTGCACAGCAGAGAGAATTTCAATAGATGCCGTAAACTGCCAGGTGCAGTCTGCACCTTGTAAAGTCAAACTTCAATAGGATTCTGTGGAAGTGATGAGGTGTTACCTGGATGTTTCACCTGGGTCCGGAGAGACTTATTCACACAAGTTTCTGTTGAGTGATTGCGTAATCTGAACTATGCTCAATTTGATTTATTATGTTTAAGGATGTTTCCACTTTGACAAGCCATTGGGAAACTCTTTTACTGAGGGTCTTAAAGTGCATCCCTAGTTCAGGAGATATTGATACACTGAAAAGGAAACGCATAAAGAAGACAGTAACTGTTCTTGGTTTTTTTAGGTCTAAAGCAGGGGTCCCTAAATGGCAGACCGCGGTCCGGATCCGGACCGAGCAGCGGTTCTATCTGGACCGCGATCGCCGACTAGGTTATGGCTGGCTGACAGGCTGGTTGATTAAATACAAAAATAAAAGGGGCACCCTGATGGGCACAGCCAATGTAAGGGGGCACGGTGATGGATATAACTAATTATTATTATATTGGGGTCCCTATCAGCGTACCCCCTCAGATGGCAGCAGCTATAGCAAGGGGCACTCCGATGGTGGCAACTAATGTAAAGGGGCACTCTGAATGGGGCCTTTAATATAAGGAGGCACTCTGAGGAGGACAACTAATGTAAGAGGGCACTCCGACGGTGGAAACTAATGTAAGGGGGCACTCTGATGGGGATAACTAATTATTATTGTATTGGGGGTCCCTATCAGCGTACTCCCTTACATTGCTTGTCCCCATCAGAGTGCCCCCTTATATTGGGTGTCCTCATCAGAGTGCTCCTTTTTATTGTATTTAATGTAAGGGGGCACTCAGATGACAGCAGCTAATGTAAGGGGGCACTCTGATGGCAACAACTAATGTAAGGGGGCGCTCTGAATGGGGCATCTAATGTAAGGAGGTACCCTGATGGGGACAACTAATGTAAGAGGGCACTCCGACGGTGTCAACTAATGTAAGGGGGCACTCTGAATGGGACATCTAATGTAAGGAGGCACTCTGATGGGGACAACTAATGTAAGAGGACACTCCGATGGCCTGCAACTGATGTAAGGGGGCACTCTGATGGGGACAACTGATGTAAGGGTAAGGAGGTAATCTGATGGGGACAACTGACGTAAGGGGGCAATCTCATGGGGAGAACTGATGTAAGAAGCACTTTCGCTGTACTTTTTTTCAGCTAAGCCAGCCACAATGTGGTACAACCGCATCACACTGTGCTTTGCCTATGGAACTTAAGGAAATGTCACTTTCTATTTGTCACTTGATATTTCAATAAAGTTCGAACAAAACATTTTTAAAAAGTGTGATGCATTGGGATTGATGCATCAGTACTGTGTCTGGGAAAACACACCAGCAGCTGTGCCTTGTAGTGCAGGAGTCCCTGGTCTAAAGGATATTTTACAGGAATGATAAATAGCCCCCCTGTATCTAATTTAGCTTTACCTCTTTTATTAACTAACCCTACATTCCATACAGTTAAGTTCCATCTGCCCATTGCATGACAGTTGTAAGGAGAGTTTGGAAGAGTTTGATGTTACCTACAGTGATACTGCGAGCCTATGACACTCTTTTTGTATGATTCTGACATTGCTGTAACATTACAGGAAAAGAGCAAGAAAGCATTAGACAGGATTTCTGAAGACTAACAATGTCATAATTGGCTGAACAGTGTTCAACATCTTCCAAAGGTGTAACTAGAGGAAGGGATTGGGGACAGGTTAAGCCAGAGGGTATACTACCAAATTTAATTAAAAATAATATAGCAAAATGCTTATGAGGTTTAAGACAACTGATACAATCTCTTACAATAATTTTTTATCACAAACTCTGCTGTAATAAGGGAAAATGGCTTGCAGTGGGTTTGATGCTTATGGTTGGAAGTACTCCAAAATCACTAAGCTCCTTTTCTAAAAGCCCCTTCAAAACCAAACTTTTAATTTGACTATGTATACAGATTTTTAAATGGTTAGTTCACTTTTTTCCCCAAAAATATCCCATGCTTTCCATCATTCCCAGCACAATGCAAAGCACTGTTAGGATGTTAAAATAGCTGTCCCAGCTCCTGAACAGTCTGTCTGCAACATCTGATCAGTGCTTTGCAATGTGATGGAGATGATGGAAAGCATGGGGGATTTTTTGGAAAATGTGCAGACAGGTTAACTAACCCTTTAGAAATTGAGACTTATTATCAACCTGTTATGGTCCACCAGTTTTAGAATTTAGCTTTGTGACCAAGACTATACAGTTACTCCTTTTCGCCTGAGCTAACCTACAATAAAGGATTTTAGGGCTATTTTGAACTGTAAGATTAAAACTTTGAGGGACTAAATCATTTATTTATAAACAAATCACAAGGAGACAGTCAGTTGTGATGCAGTGCTCATGTGCTAACAAGGAACAGACAGGTGACAGAGAGATGAGCCCATCAGTCTGCTGGTTCTCCTTTCACTAACTAGTCAAAGGTTGAGGGAGGGACAAGATCTGTAATTAGGTCTTCTGCTCCACCACACAGGGCTGCGCTGTGTGACAAACGTGTAAATATTAAAACTGGATGGACAGAAATACAAATCTTTGGCAGGTATAGTAGCTCCCATAACGATGTATTTCATTGAGGTATTCAGCTTTTTGCCGAGAGATCAGCTCTGAGGATTTCTTTACTTGGGTATTTTAATATGTAATTCAATACGGGATTGCTTTTCTTGTTTAATGAAGAAAACACATACTTTCTCTTAAGAGCATATCGTATTTTTAGTATACATTTTCTTATGTTACAATAGTTTTATATCTTCAGAAGAAATGTAATTACACAATATTAGAAGTCCCATTCATAATTAATGCAAGCATACAAGGAATATTTCTATTTACACTGGCTGCCTTCTCCTGTGCTACTTACATTTTGATTAGTTAGGACAAAGAAAGGAATCTATATACCAAAAATGAGTTATGCAAAAATAATTTTTTTTTGCAGGAAAAAAGAGATATCCGTTCCTACTGTGACTTACCAGAAATCTATAGGATTATAGAAAGACCCAATAAATATGCATACGCAAGCAATGAAGGAAGACATGAAGAATTTCAAAGGTTCCACATTTCACAGTGTCCAATGATATCAGAACCAATATTTCCTTTCCATTTCACTGAAGAAAACGTTTTCATCTGAAGTCGCAAAGAAGACACCGTAAACTGCTTCAACCAGTGCTTGAGAAATGTACACATTCTACTATGAACTTGAGAGATATATCAAAATTTGAAGTGTTTTTATTACCTGTAACACAACTAGCAGATAGCAGCAGATGTGCAGCTTTGCCGGGCACCAAGTACTACTGTCTCAGAGGATTTGTAGCATTTTTAGTCTCTGCTCAGCTTCAATAATGAAACATAAAAGTTCAGTTTTGACAGTTAAGCAGTGGTTCCAATAATGGCTAGGTCCCAAAGAACAAATAGTTCTTCCCACAATTCCCTTTTACTGACTGTTCACATTGTCTGTATTCTACATGTATCTGAATCCAGTTCTTTATTTCTTCCTTTCTTGGTCTATAGGTATCTTTAGTAACAGAGTATCCTATAAGTGACATGCTAATAGATCTTCAATAATAATTCTGGATAATAATTCTAGTTCGATTAATCACAAAAGAGAATGACCCGTGGAACATGTGAAGTGCTGAAGTTCTTTGAGGAGTACAGACACTTCTGCTCAACAATGCCAGGGACCAAGGACCTACTGTTTCTCCTCTGCATTTTCATCATAATCCCAAAAGAAAAAAGCATCTTTGATAGGTTCTGAAACATATATTGCTACAGTAAATGCTTGGATGCCTATTTATAACATAGCTTTAGCTGCAATATGCAAGTAATTGTGCTCTTGAGTCATGAAAATTAGGCATCGGGCATGTACTAACTATCCAAAGAGGGAAAAGGACTGTGATGGCACTGAATAATCCACTTTATTGAAGCATTTTTTAAAGTATGTAATAATGAAGAATCTTTTACATTTCATAAAACACACCTTTTAGAACTGTTGGCTTTAATGCTACTAACAACTTGCTCCTCATTTTGAGACTGTATTCTTAAATGGTACAAACCTGGGTGTTGAGGCCCTCAAATGTAAAGTTTCAGAAAATCTGTAATTAGTGATGTTCCTTAAACCATTAGCAAATTGCCTAATTATCTTCTTCTGCAGCTGTTTTCTTTTGAAAAAGTTTGGATTTTAGACAAACTGCTTACCTAAAAGAATTTAAAACTAAAAATGTAAATTGCATGACAGCAGATATTGTCTTACACTAGTTAGTTGGAGTTCATGTATGTCAATTCCATTAAATCTCTATAGGAGTTCTTTGCACCCAAGCTTAGTACAGATATTTCATGTTTTACCAAATATAGGTTTGCTAACAATATAAACTACAACAATGTTTCCATGCAATTTGTTTAACTAGCTAGATGATTGGTTGGCTTTAAGCAGAGTTCAAGTGAAAGTATGCATTTTCCACCCATTTTTCAGGACAATCTTAGAAATGTCAGACTTGGCTACAACCAAAGCTTGAAGCAAAGCACCCCCACCCATATACAGTACTGTGCAAATGTTTTAGGCAGGTGTGGAAAAATGCTGTAAAGTAAGAATGCTTTCAAATATATATTTTTTTATTGTTATTTTTTATCAATTTACAAAATGCAGAGTAAGTAGAATAAAATCTAAATCAAATTAATATTTGGTGTGACCACCCTTTGGCTTCAAACCAGCATCAATTCTTACACTTGCACAAAGTCAAGGATTTTGTAGGATTAGAGTCAGGTGTAAGATTACCCAATTATACCAGCAGGTGCTAATGATCATCAATTTCATATGTAGGTTGAAACAGAGTCATTAACATGAAACAGCTGTGTAGGAGGCTTACAACTGGGTTAGGAACATCCAAACTCTGCTACTAAGGAGAGGTTGTGGAAGACAGTTTCCTGTCACAGGTCATACACCATGGCAAGACTGAGCACAGCAACAAGACACAAGGTAGTTATACTGCATCAGCCAGGTCTCTCCCAGGCAAAGATTTTAAAGCAGACTGGGGTTTCAAGATGTGCTGTTCAAGCTCTTTTGAAGAAGCACAAAGAAATAGGCAATGTTGAGGACTGTAGACGCAGTGGTCAGCCAAGGAAACTTCAAGCAGCAGATGAAAGACACATCATGCTTACTTCCCTTCGACTTTGGAAGATGTCCAGCAGTGCCATCAGCACTGAACTGGTGGAAACCAAGGTACACTGATCTAGTGTCCCGAGAAGTTTGGCCAGAAGTGGTCTTCATGGAAGAAATGCGGCCAAAAAGCCATACTTCTGACATGGAAACAAGGTTAAGCAACTCAACTATACATGAAAACATAGGAACTGGGGTGAAGAAACTGGCAGCAGGTGCTCTGGACTGATGAGTCAAAAGTTGAAATATTTGTCTGTAGCAGGAGGCAGTTTTTCTACCAAAGGGCTGGAGAGCGGTACATGAGTATCTGCAGGCAATAGTGAAGCATGGTGGAGGTTCCTTGTAAGTCTGGGGCTGCATGTCTGCCAATGGAGTTGGAGATTTGGTCAGGATCAATGGTGTCCTCAGTGCTGAGAAATACTTATCCATCATGCCATACCATCAGGGAGGTGTGTGATTGGCCCCAAATTCATTTAGCAGCAGGACAACAACCCCAAACATACAGCCAATGTCATTAAGAATTATCTTTAGCATAAAGAAGAACACCCTGGAAGTGATGGTGTTGCCCCCACAGAGCCCTGATCTCAACATCATCAAATCTGTCTGGGATTACATAAAGAGACAGAAGGATTTGATGCAGCTGACATCCACAGAGGATATGTGCTTAGTTCTCCAAGTTGTTTGGAACAACCTACCTGCCGAGTTCCTTCTTAAACTATGAGCAAGTGTACCTAGAAGAATTGATGCTGTTTTGAAAGAAAAGGGTGACGCACCAAATATTGATTTGATTTGGATTTCTCTTCTGTTCATTTAATTTCCGTTTTGTTAATTGATAAAAATAAACTATTAACACTTTTATTTCTGAAAGCATTCTTACTTTACAGAATGTTTTCACACCTGCCTAAAACATTTGCACAGTACTGTATATTAAAGTGTCTTTTACCTGGACTTTCAGTACAGCAGACTCCTTCAGAATCAGATACATAAAAGAGGTATCGTAGGAGTCTGATTTCATTTACTGACTCTTCAGTTCATTACACAGCTGTTGTACGACAGCCACAATGGAGCTACACTATACTGCACAATTCATTAATGTGCTAAATCTGTTGCTACATGAATCCCTTGGGTTAAGTTACTAAAAGCAAATAGGTAGTTAATTTTGCAAGGGAATGTTGACTTTGCAGGGTAATTTTCCCTTCGCTTGGTGAATGTGGTGAAAATTACTTTGCAAAAAAGACCCAATTATGCGCATGGGAAAGAAGAAAAACAGTAGTTTTGCTTGTATGCTATTGGATGCTGAAAGTAAGCAGAGCTTCAATTCATTCACTCAGCTAAGGGAAAATTCCAATGTACAGTGAACAGCCTACTTGACTTTGGTAAATCAACTCTTTTGTCTCTTTCCCGCCAATCACAGCTCTATCCTCACTGTGTTGTGTATTATGCAAACTACTGCACTGTCACTACATACATGATTTGTTGTTTCTGCCCACAGTATGTAGAAATGACAGTTCATACATGTGGCAGTATATTCCTAATAGAAGGCATTACTTTAAATAGACCCTGTTGCCAGAACATTAATTTCAACGAACATTTTCAGATAAGGTTATATGTGCATTTAAGGAATTTTATGCATATTAATTACCAGTAAAAGTTTTCCTTGTGTAGACATCCAAAAGCCCTGAAGCTTCTGCTGGGTCCCGCCATTTTGGATGTGATGTCAGCAACCCCAGTCTCAAGTGACACTCTACATGTTCTACTTTGTCCTCCATTGGCAGCTACATTAAGTTATTTAGGAGACCTAGGTCACCACAGAGAACAGTTAGAGACTCCTAGAAGAGTAGAGGGCTATGACATGCAGAGTGGGAGCGGGTTGTACTAGGAAAACACATTGCAATTGAATAAAAAATAGTTTATAGAAAGGAAAAACACTGCAAGTAAGTATAATACTTGATTTTCTGTGCATTAACCTGCAATCTTAAGTTCGTTACACAATCTCTTTAACGATGTTACCCTCTTTCCTTCTTTCCTGACAGGAATATATTGAACACTAAAACTGAGGATCTGTATAAATAAAAAGCACCTGTTTTTCTAATTACAAATGCAAATAGAACTGCAGGTTTCCCTTAGTCTGTGTCTTCTTTTTCCACATATCACTCCCCATTCTTGTTCCCTGTTGTTATGACTTAGGTGCCATCTTTAATCCAGCATCTGCTCAGCATCCACTTCTTCTTGGGCTGTTACGGGTTCCGATGACACTGTGTAATCCTCTGCCTGCTCACATTGGTCTTCATTTACTAGTCATTGTAAGTGGAAATGAAGAGAAGCAAAGTCACTCCCAGTATCAAGACAGTATTTAAAATGCATTATTTGGCTCCAAAAAGATTCCCAGGAACAAAGATGCAATTAGGCACATGTAGTAGAAAGATGTCAGAGGGAATCAGGTAAATACATTATATTTGTGTCACTAAGAATGTTTTTTAAGTGACACTAAACTCATGAGTTAAACCTTCAAAATGTATTCAGGTACCTTAACTATTAACAAAAATGCATCTTATTTGTGTATCACTCGGCTGTAGATCCTCAAATCATCTCTGAATTGGTGCTAACACTGTCCTTCCTTCTGGAGGTTGGCTACTTTTGTTCCCCATGGTCCCTGTGTGTGTTGTAAAATAGCACCACTCCAAGGTCACTCCCATGAAAGACTATAATCTCAATACAAATTAGTAAATTAAATGTGAGATTGTAGTAGAAGCTTTAACTCCTGCGTTTAGTGTCACTTTAAGGGCTCCGTGTGTTTCAGATACAACGTGTAAAGACTATATTCTCGATTAAATGTCAGTTTGTCCTTAATTCCATCTTTGCAAACCTTTACCCTGTCTATTTTACTAGCTTTTTAATAGAAAACATAATAAGGTAAACAAATGTAAATCCTGATGTTGAGGCTTTAA